GAAGGTGAGCTATGGGTATTTCCTCTGCCTCTTGCGACACACTGCACCTTTCTCCACTCCTAGGGACCCTGCTGCTGAATGAGACGCACCATCTTGGTTTCTCTTCGGTCCAGCCCCACGTGTCTGCTGTCCTCTAAAGTCCTCAGCTGCGCTCTCTGTTGAGCATGCTTCTTTTCTTTCACGCACTCATCTCATTTAGAAAACACCATTGCAGTATTTACCACATGTCAGGGACCTTTCCAAGTGTTTTGTGAATATTTATTTGCTTAATCTACGTAATGCTCTCTGGAGGAGGCAAGGTGGTCATCCCCATTTTACAGATAAGGAAACAGGAACGTGGGAAGTTGAATAAGCCCGAGGTCACACGCTAGCAAGTGGCATACCCAGGGTCTGAACCCCATCAGTCTACCTCCAGAGCCAGTACTTTTACTCTGCAGAGCTTTTTCTCCTCTTGCCCTCGTGGTAGGAAATGCATAAAAGACCAGGACTCTCCCTGAGAGGGGTTAATTTGGCTATGATCACACTCCGTGCTCTCCCAGTCTCCCCGTCCCTGCTGGTCACAGCTGAGCCCCTGTGCCTCCAAGCCCAGGGCCTGGTGCTCATTACACGAGGGGGTCCTGGGTCCTGGCCCAGCAGGGCATGAGCCTGACAAAGCCCAACAGCCGCAGGGCTCTGGTCGGAAAACTGAGCGGGTGGGAATCTGGGACTGACAGGCCAGTGGGAGCTGCTGCAGGTAAGCAGGCTTGGAAATCAGGGCGCCGTCCTTCCCAGCCCCTCTGGAGGGCCTTTCAAGCAGTCAGAATTCTCAAGGAGGGCTTGATAGCTTTGGAGCTTGCAAGTCATCGCAATCAGATTCGAGCAGCAAGAAGAGTTTGGAGCGCGTCACAGTCAGGCCCTACTGTTAATTCTTTCTAAGAAATAAACACTTGTCAAATCTTGAAGTTTTTTTTTTTTTTATTTTTTTTATTTATTTTATTTTATTTTTATGTCTTTATTTTTTAAATTTATTTTTACCCTGTTACAGAGGTTTATTTGTTTTTTTTTTTATTTTTTGTTAAATTTTTATTTTGTCAATATACACTGTATATGATTATTANAAATTACAGAAAACTGTCTCCCCAAACAACTTTCACATCTCTTTCTCTGCTGAATCATTATTTCTGCACATGCTCGCTGTTGGGCCAGGTGAGGAAGAAAGCAAGCAGGGCAGGAAGGTGGGGGCTGTGGGGGGGTCTCCCTACTCAAGGACAAGTTTCCTCTGGCTCAAGGCAGCCACTGTCCTTGGCTAGAGATTAGCGATTTCCACCTGAAAAGCTAGGTGACTACACCAGTTGTTGATTAAGGCAAATCATATAGACTGGGTCACAGACCCCTCACATGCCAGGCTGGAACACCAGACCCCTCACACACAGGTCCATGCTAGGTAATTGGGAAGGATCCCAGGAGCCGTTGGCAGACGGCATGAGCTCAGTCCTCAGCAACGGCAGCAGCAGCTTACAGGTTCAACAGCTTACAGGTCTGCTGGTGGCAGCAGCCTCGCAGAGGGTCTCGGGGGCCCTGGCAGCAACAGTTTACAGCAACAGCCTCCAGCAGCAGTAGTGGCCTCCCCATGCCCCCCCCAGGGGGCATCCTGGCATTGGAGGGCACTGTGGATCAGAGCCACTCATCCTTTATACTTAAGTCCGTAACCCAGGACACCAGTCAAATGCTTGGCA